AGGCCGGGGGGTGTGTGTCTCCCGGTCTAGGGGAGCGGGCCGGTGGTTGGGCACGCCTAGGATCACTTCCCGGCCCGAAAGAGGAGCGGGCCCGGGGGGTTTGTCCCCAGCCTGCGGCCTCGATGCCTTCCCGGGGCGGTGTGAGCCTGCACCTCTTGCACGGCTGGAGGGGAAGGGTTCCCACTCGCTCGGCGGGTAAAGCCTCTGCACGCTGAGGTGCCTTGTCCTCATGCTGACTGTGCCAGAGAAATCCCTCACTCCTGATCTAGAGTGCTTTTTTTTTTTTTTTTCCTCTCGGCAATGTTGTTTGACTTCAAAGTGATTATTTATCTGCTCAAAGACAGTTGCCTCTCAAAGTCTTTGCCTTGGGGTTCCCTTCATCTGTATTTAAACGTAAGAGTTGTTGCAATGTTCTGTGAGTCAGCTGTAGCACTTGGTACCAATACTTCCTGCATCTTAGCAAATCTCCTCTGCCTTGTTTGTGCAAATCAACAACAGCAAAAAGTGTGGGCTTCTGCAGGTGTTGATGTCACTTTGTCTGATTCTAGTCTTGTGCTTTTGGCTCATTAACTTATTTATCTTGTCTTCATGGCATTGTAAGATGACAAAATACTTGTATGATGGATACCGTAACAGAAGACTGTTGCTGGATAAGGCTTAAATTAAGATAAGTAATGGAAGTTATGTGCCTTTAAGATACGCTGCACTCAGTTCGACCATTAAAGATCCCATGATACTGTTATATGGATCGGAACAGGAAGAGGGGGACTGATCTGTGCATTCTTGCTCAAAATACCCATTCTGTGTATTTGTACGAAGTTGGCTTCATTTTCTGTGGGTCTTACGTATACTGCAAAAGACATTCAAGCTCTTCTTCAGTGCTCCTTTAAGCCCCAAAGCACACAGGGTAGTTTTCAAATGAGGGTTGAGTTTGCAGTGGATGCTGAGCACTATGTGCAGAAACAGAGGTTAAGCTCTTTGGAAGGTAATCCCTCACCTGTATGCATTTGAAAATTTGAGCTTGATCTGTTTGCGTGATCTCTCTTAGATCTGTGATTTGTCCTGGGATTGCTTAAGTATGAGAGTTACTGAGAAAAGAATTGGAACTGTTGGAATGAGTCCAGAGGAGGCCATAAAGATGATCAAAGGGCTAGGGACCTCTCCTATGGACACAGGCTGAGAGAGTTGGGGTTGTTCAGCCTGCAGAAGAGAAGGCTCCGGGGACACCTTATAGCACCTTCCCATACCTAAAGGGGCTACAAGCAAGCTGGGGAGGGACTGTTTACAAGGGCATGGAGTGACAGGACAAGGGGGAATGGCTTTAAGCTGAAGGAGGGGAGATTTAGGTTAGATATTAGGAAGAAATTCTTCCCTGTGAGGGCGATGAGGCACTGGGATAGATTGCCCAGGGAAGCTGTGGCTGCCCCTGGATCCGTGGAAGTGTTCAAGGCCAGGTTGGATGGGGCTTTGGGCAACCTGGTCTAGTGGAGGGTGTCCCTGCCCATGGCAGGGGGTTGGAACTAGATGGACTTTAAGGTCCCTTCCAACCCAAACCATTCTACGATTGATTCTATGACAAGAATAACGTCATTTATTTATCTGGTGTTGGGGAAAACCTGCGTTGTGGAATGAGAGACTTAGAAATGACCTGTTAATGGTTTCCTGTTACTTGTTGCAGGAGCAGGATGTATACTCTGCTGTCTGGACTCTATAAATACATGTTCCAGAGGGATGAGTACTGCATCTTGATCCTTGGTTTGGACAATGCTGGTAAAACTGTAAGTGCTGTTTATTACCAATTGCATGGAGGGCACATGCAATTCTAAACATCCTCCAAAGATAAAACTTCCAACAGACAGGTCAATCTTTCTTCAGCTGTATTGTGAGTTATTTTAGTGATGTCACACCAAAGAATCAACTTTTCCCACTTACTTAAATTTAGCATAAGCTTTCAGCGATGTAGCTGAGGCTTTGGTAATCCTGTAATCACCTGTGATCCCTTCTTGCCTTGCTAAAATAGGGAACAGGAAGAGTGGTTTGTTCTGAGGTTAGGTAGGGCAGTATCTGTTGGAGCAGGATTCTGCAGAAGTGAAAAGGTGGGTTTGGGTTAGGATTACCCCAGCCAGTAAAATATTTGAGAGGAAATACTTTTTCTTGTTCCTTTTCAGACCTTTCTTGAACAAACTAAAACTCGATTTAACAAGAACTACAAAGGGATGAGTTTGTCCAAAATCACAACCACTGTAGGCTTAAACAGTAAGTAAATCTGTCTGAAATTTTTTCAGCTTTCCCACGCGGTTAGACAACAGCTGGTTCTTGTTTGAAATATTTAAGAATTGACAAGGGCAACATAGTTCCTGGAAGTAGGGGTTGTATTTCCCAACTCCCCCTGTCTTTTTGTAAGAGAATAAAATAGATTTGCTTAGCTTATGAGGAAAAACCCCCTGAATTCTTAAAAATCCAAGTATCCTATTTCAGTGCGCTGCTCAGAGGTTAAGCTAAATTTCACTGGAGTTCATTCGTTGGCCTTATCCTGATATTATTTGTACTGATATGACTCTATCAGTCTGATATTAGCGGTCACTCTCTGCAAAGGTATTGTTCTGTTGTTGAAAGCAGCACTGCATGTGATTTGTTCCTCTAGAAGACAGTTTTACCCCAGGCTTCTTGGGGGCTGTGTGGGTGTTGATGCTTTAGAGAACACCTTTAGTTTTCATTGATTGGTTTTGCTTCTTTCCCTCTAGTTGGTACTATTGATGTTGGCAAAACTCGGCTAATGTTCTGGGATCTTGGTGGACAGGAGGAACTACAGTCTCTTTGGGACAAGGTTGGAGATGTATTTTTTTCTTTTAGAAGTGTTTTTGGCTCTTTTAGAAGTGAAGCAGCATGATCATTTAGTAGTCATGCAGGCTTATTGGTAACCCTAGTATTTAGCATCAACACTTTTCCAGATATTCAACTAGTTGATCTCTTCCATGTGTATCAAAATTTTACCAAATTAAAAAAAAATCAAGAAAAGGAACATATGGTCCTATGTAGAATAACACTAATATCTGTGTTATTCTTTCAGTATTATGCTGAATCTCATGGAGTGATCTATGTTATTGACTCCACTGACAAGGAGAGGCTCTCAGAATCTAAAAGAGCTTTTGGTGAGTATGTTGTGTTTTACCTGTACTGTGATTTCATGATGTATTGTGGCACAGTTCTCTCATTACTATCATGTCTGTTCCTGTGTCCTCGAATTAAGCTGTGTGGCCTGTTGATGACACATCTGCAGTGTTTTTGCACTTTCTTCTTGAAGGCTGTTTTGTCTGTAACACGGGACTTGCTTTTGTTGCCTATAATGACCTTGAATCTCTTTTTGTGCTTATGCTAATGCTTTTGAAATTTTTATTCTATATTTATCACGTCATTAATTCTCAGTAACGTGCTTGTTGATCAAAATAAAGGTTGGGGGTTGATCTGGAAAAAATAAATCTGTGAAGACAATAGACCTAAAAGGTCTAAAAGGTCATATGAAACAAAACGACAGGAGCCTCTTGCTTCATCCAGATGTCCATTCATGTCCAGACAGTCTGTGTCAGGCATTTGTGCAACTTTATGTTCCAGAACTGGCTAAACCTCTGTTTTGGTATCTGTGCTTTATAGAGAAGATGATTACCAGCGAAGCTCTGGAAGGAGTTCCCATTCTGGTGTTAGCTAACAAGCAGGATGTAGAGGTAAGATTATTGCAGATTTACTTCTTAAGTGAGCAAATAAGCCTTGGAAAGTTGAGCTCTGCATTCATGTTAAATTTATTTCACATTCCCGGACTGATTCTATGGCATTTTCTCGCTGCTGGAAGTAATTGCTTTGAATTTAGTTTTATTTTTTTCCTTTTTCCTCCAGCCCTTTTCCAGTGGCATAAGTAAGCTTACTACAGACCCGTCCATCTCAGCTGTTTTGAACTTTTTATATGAACAGAGCAGACTATGTAGCTATGGTGGGTCTTTCTTGTGCTGTGATTTGGTATCTTGATACTGTTTTTTCCTGTTTATTTAGCAAAAAAATGTTTAGTGCACTTTGGTTTTGCTGCTCTACTATTACCTGGGAACAGCACAACAAATGTATGTGAAGCAATAGCACCCTTTTCCCAAAACCAATAATATCTGTTCAATGAAACATTCTGTTTTTCTTAGAGCATTCCATCAATGACAGCAGTGAATGGCAAGGAATACTTTTTCTTGATAATACCATTTGAATTCTTTCTAGCATATCCAGAACTGAAAAACTCTTGTTTTGTATTTGACAAGTTAGTGGGCACTACAGCGTGACTGTTTGGGTGATGCATCCAAGGCAGTCCTCATCTCCCCCGGTGTGGAGAACAGGGAAGAGAGTGCCTAAAGCAGTTGTGGTATTTTCCATGTTTTCCTCCTTTCCATTCGTTCTACCTGGAATTCCAGTGCTGCAGTTCGACTGATTAATCTCTAGATGGAGCCAGAGACTTTCAGTAGAATTCAGAGTATCAGCCTGTGATCAGTATCTGTGTTAAAGCATGCAAATACTTCCCAGCTTATTGTCCCGGACTTTACACCTATCTCAGTGAGTGTACTTGTGGGAAATACTTGAGGCTTCCATAGAAATCACTCTGGCTTTACAGGAGGATTTGGTTACACTTTGCTTGTACAACACAATGGATATTTTTTTTTTTTTTAATGATATTAAGATTATCTAGTCATAGATATAAAAGAAATGTAGTTCCACTTAAAAGACAGCATGAGATTAAGAGACAGGACTCCTGATTTCTGGTCCTGACTTTGCTGTGAACTGTGGTGTGGGGGGAGATTGACTGTCTTTTCAATGTGGAAACCAGAATATTAACTCTCATATTTCCATGCAATACTACAGCTTTACAGCAGGGAGCAGTCTGCACTTTTGCCTTTAGCTGTTGAGAATTAAACATATGCAGTGACCTGGAAAGCTGTTCCGATTTTCCTTATGGCTGTCTCTGCATATTTTGTTGTGGGCATACTGCAAAAGCCAGATCTTCTGGCACCCTAGCCAGACTAAAGAAAAATGATTGAACAAGTGGACCTCTTTATGCGACTAGAAAGAGGTATTTGGAACAGGCTCTCAAGATAAAAACTATGACTGACTCCTTGCCCCTTGTGCAAGACCACGGATTCGGTGCCTTTATGCAGTTGTAGAATTGTGACAAAAGATTAGCAAAACTATACTGACTGGAGGTATACTCATTTTGAAGAAATACCTAAATTGTATATTTAGAAGTCTGTTCCTAGAGTATGATCTTGGATATTGACACAGAGCAGAGACATCAATGCTGTTAACAAAACATTAAAGGGACTATAGGTTATTTTTCACTGATTATTCAGGTTCACATAAGCAAGGTTTAGAAAACTAGAAGGCCTGTTTCTCTTCCACCGATCTAGCAGAATTGAAGACCTCTGGAAGAAAATTGACCATTACGCTTATTATCACTGGTAGAGATTTTTCTGCTCTGGATCTCCAGATATGTAATTGTAGTGGGGTATTCTCACTGGCATTCCTCTGTTGTTAATGTGGATCTCAGTAAAGGAGTGTAAGTGGTATCTTAACCTTCCTGGTATGTGCGGATGAGAGATAATTCATGATGATTACGTCTTTAAAGGCCAGCAGAAGACTTGTGGTGAAATATGTCAGTAGTAGTACATCTGACATAGATTTTTTTTTTTTTTAGAGTTTACATTTGTCGTAAGCTAACAAAAGTTCTGACTCAGTGCCTGAAATTGCATAAAGTGTAAGAATTTTTTGGCCTTGATGCTAAATTCCTTGTAGAAAAGAATTCCGCTTTTGACAGATATCTCTACCCTAGGGTAAATTGCATCCACTCAGCACTGCCAAGTGTGAGTGGAGTTTGGCCGTATCAAGAGGTGAAATACAGTCATAGGCTGCAAAATCCCAATTCTAATATCCTGACAAAGCTGCATATGATTTAATTTTTTTGTACCGGGACAACACTGTGTTTAGCAGAGGCTTCAAAACTGGATCATTTTGTAATTAATTAGTAAGACTGGGTCAAATGTGTGTTGTGGGAGGGAGTTTGTTGTGTTTTTTTAAAGGAATTATTGCTTTGTAGGGGAATTAAAGGTCTAATATATAATAATTCGTGTGGACTCCCTTTCAAGTCAGAATGCCACTTCTGAAAATATTAGGCAGTTTACTGTTTATTGCAGAAAAAGCTGCAAAATAAGAATTTGTATTTGCCATTTTAATGTGAATGCAGCTGTTTAAAGGTTTATAAAAGCTATGTATTTGTGACCTGTACAATGAAATGTTAAAACTTGAGGATAGAATGACTCATTTTGGAACGCTATTAAAAATACTGGAAAA